TCAGTATAGCGAACTGCCTTGTATAGCCAATAATTGACATCACCCGTTACGATAGCCATCATAAACCATTACCCGCTCCCTAAAGTTGAAGCAGTGTTAACTTTTAGGCCTGGTTGGTGTCAATATTTTTCAAGACTATTTCGCCCTCTGGTGGGTATTATCTTCGGTATAAATTAAACCTTCTAGTTGAGCACACAAAGCACAGATGTAATTTATTGACAATTATTCCATACAACGGAAATGATGTATTTCCTTGTTAACCATAGAGAATCTGTTACAATTTACCTCAGCCTAGCTGAGAACATTCCGTTCCTACTGTCTATTGACTGTCTGTAGACACTGTCTAGTGCAGGGTTTCCCAAACTCGGTCCTGCCCCCCAAAACGTTTTGGCTTTTGGACTTTTTCAACTGGCCAACTCACAGAACTAGACTAGAATGTCAAACACAGTGTGTGAAGGCTGAATTCAGAATAAGTGGGACACTTTCTGCATTTCTGTCCTCTGACCTCTTCAGACACCTATCCAACATATTAGCCCATCATGACACATTTCTAAAATCCTCAAGATGTTTCCTAATCACACACAAAATAAAAATGTTGATATTATCATATTCACAGGAGGCACGACACACCTATTTCTGTACACTGAGTCACAATCCATATTTTCAGTTTGCATTTGGCTGACTGGGATATCAGGTTAGATAAACTGGGACACTGTTATTACAGTCCTAATTGTACTCCAATGGCAATTCAATACCATTTTGTGTGATTAGGAAACATCTAAGGATTTCTGAAGTGTATCATGCGTTGGGCTAATATGTTGGATAGATGTCACTCAGAAGTGTCCCACTTTTTCAGAATTCACTCAAATAACAGCACTAGTAACTACTAGAAGGACCAGAGCCCTGCCTAACCTAAGTACAGGGGGTCCCTGATGGAAACTATTCCGAAATAAACCCATCAGGATTAAGCTGTCCCAGTTGGTGATGTCCCACTCTTTCTGAATTCACTGTACATCAATGTGAAACTAGATTTCCCCCAAAATCAACATACTTCTCAAAGACTACAAAACAGAAATGGAGAAATACAGAAGGAAGAAACTCTTTTTTTGATACTCTGAGAAATGTTATTATGTTTATAAGTTGCAACCAACACCTATTATCTCCACAAACGTTTTCCCATCTGGACAACCCCCCCCCCCCCCCCTCTCCCTGACAGCATCAAGAATCCCCAATCCCCCCCCCCCCCCCCCTCCCTGACAGCATCAATAATCCCCAATCCCCCCCTCTCCCTGACAGCATCAAGAATCCCCAATCCCCCCCTCTCCCTGACAGCATCAAGAATCCCCAATCCCCCCCTCTCCCTGACAGCATCAAGAATCCCCAATCCCCCCTCTCCCTGACAGCATCAATAATCCCCAATCCCCCCCTCTCCCTGACAGCATCAAGAATCCCCAATCCCCCCCCCCCCCTCTCCCTGACAGCATCAATAATCCCCAATCCCCCCCTCTCCTTGACAGCATCAAGAATCACCAATCTCTATAGCTGTACAATTTTATTTCTTTTAGAAACAAATACGTCAATTTCAGTACGTACACATTGCACACAGAATATTTTGTGTTCCTTTTCTTGTCATTTTTTCTTAAGCAAGAGAGTTAAGCACTAAGTCTACGTTTACATAGGCAGCCTAATTCTGATCTTTGCCCAATTATTGGCAAAAGATCAGAATTGGGCTGCCTGTGTAAACACGGCCTTACACACGATAAGTAACCATCAGGTTAGACATTGCATTAGCAGAGATTGCTGGTGGATATATTCATAGGTCTCTGTGTACCTTCAGATCAACAATGATAAAAGGTCCATCCTCTAAAACAGAATACAGTTATTTTAAATAAAACTTCAGCAGGTCTCGAGAAGAAGAAACACATTCAAGATAAAACCGGATTCTCAGAGCAAGTTTGCATAATCCTTAACATTACAAAACAGCTTTGAACAATCACTTACTTGTTTTGGGGGTTATTGGCAGAGTTTGCAGCATTGCTAGAACATTACCAAAGAGATCAACACAGAAGCTACTGCATAGCATGTTCTCTGATTGTTATCAGAGATCAAACTCCTGTTCATTAACAACACTGTAATGAGCAGGCAAAGGGATACTTCTAAGGCTTCTGCTTTAACTCCAATCACTCAATATCGCTTTAGTATGGGCTTAAAAAGTGGGTGCATGAGGTAATTGCTGTCCTTGTGCTGTGGCAAGCAATATCTCTGTACACAATTCTGTACAAAACAGACAGTTTTGATGGCTCAATTCATGACGCAAACACAGTGTGTAAATACTGTGGAAGAGCAGCTTCACATTGAGCCAGACTAACATACTAAAACACTGACTTGAAGGGTCGTCATGGACTCACAATGCTTCAATATTAGACTTGTAGGTGTGTCTAATCCATGGATATAACATACGGACCACTGAAAAAGGAAAAATACTTTACATTTAAAACTTGACTAAACAATTTCACTGGCCAGGAAACTAGAGCTTTGGAAGCAAAGAGAAAGGTAATTTGATAATACTGCCTTCTCACAGCACAGGGACTTCAGTTACTGGCACATTTTTACAGGACATTGTTTACAGCACGTGTCACACTCATTCCACGGAGGGCCGAGTGTCTGCGGGTTTTCACTCCTCCCTTGTACTTGATTGATGAATGAAGGTCACTAACTAGTAAGGAACTCCCCTCACCTGGTTGTCTAGGTCACTAACTAGTAAGGAACTCCCCTCACCTGGTTGTCTAGGTCACTAACTAGTAAGGAACTCCCCTCACCTGGTTGTCTAGGTCACTAATTAGTAAGGAACTCCCCTCACCTGGTTGTCTAGGTCACTAACTAGTAAGGAACTCCCCTCACCTGGTTGTCTAGGTCACTAACTAGTAAGGAACTCCCCTCACCTGGTTGTCTAGGTCACTAACTAGTAAGGAACTCCCCTCACCTGGTTGTCTAGGTCACTAACTAGTAAGGAACTCCCCTCACCTGGTTGTCTAGGTCACTAACTAGTAAGGAACTCCTCTCACCTGGTTGTCTAGGTCACTAACTAGTAAGGAACTCCCCTCACCTGGTTGTCTAGGTCACTAACTAGTAAGGAACTCCCCTCACCTGGTTGTCTAGGTCACTAATTAGTAAGGAACTCCCCTCACCTGGTTGTCTAGGTCACTAACTAGTAAGGAACTCCCCTCACCTGGTTGTCTAGGTCACTAACTAGTAAGGAACTCCCCTCACCTGGTTGTCTAGGTCACTAACTAGTAAGGAACTCCCCTCACCTGGTTGTCTAGGTCACTAACTAGTAAGGAACTCCCCTCACCTGGTTGTCTAGGTCACTAACTAGTAAGGAACTCCCCTCACCTGGTTGTCTAGGTCACTAACTAGTAAGGAACTCCCCTCACCTGGTTGTCTAGGTCACTAACTAGTAAGGAACTCCCCTCACCTGGTTGTCTAGGTCTTAATTGAAAGGTAAACCCAGCAGACACTAGGCCATCCGTGGAATGAGTTTGACACCCCTGGTTTAGATGCTTGAGGTGTTTCATCATTTCATCTTATCAGTAGTTGTGATACCTCAACATGCACACGCACACACACACACGTAAAATTGGGACCTACTTTTAAAATACATTTGAAAAGATCTGCTATTGGGGGTAAAAAATAATGAAATGGTAGTCCAAGGTTTAGCCATTAATCCAGACTAGTACCAGGGGCTAATGTAAGGCCTAATCCAATCATAAGTGCATACATGCAAAGTTTGGGAACAGGGGATACTTGCAATAACTCTCAGAGCAGACTGGCTATAGAACAACAAACAATACATACAACCACAAAATCAACGTTTGAAAAATCTAAAAAAAAAAAAAAAAGATTGTTGTGATGTTTGTGAAAATGAAGTCTGAATACCTACGCTGATGAATGAAATGTACTGACCTGGCTGAACCCCATGTGGCAGCTTGCTGCAGTGGGGCCCTGATTTCACATAGGCCTAACTGGAGCCTTCACAAACCACCACACTGATACGTAAACACTTTACATGAAAAACTAAATGAAGGAAGAAGACTAAGTATGGCACAGACATGTATACTGAACTAAAATATAAACGCAACATGCAACAATTTCTAACATTTTTGTGAGTTACAGTTCACATAAGGAAATCAGTCAATTGAAATAAAATAATTAGGCCCTAATCTATGGATTTCGCATGACTGGGAAAACAGATGTGCATCTGTTGGTCATAGATACCTTAAAAAAAAAAAAAAAGTAGTGGCGTGGATCAGAAAACCAGTCAGTATCTGGTGTGACCACCATTTGCCTCATGCTGTGAGACACATCTCCTTCGCATAGAGTTGATCAGGCTGTTGATTGTGGCCTGTGGAATGTTGTCCCACGCCTCTTCAATGGCTGTGAAAAGTTGCCGGATCTTGCCGGGAACTGGAACACGCTGTTGTACAAGTCAATCCAGAGCATCCCAAACATGCTCAATGGGTGACATGTATGGTGACTATGCAGGCCGTGGAAGAACTGGGACATTTTCTGCTTCCAGGAATTGTGTACAAATCCTTGCGACATGGGGCCGTGCATTATGCTGAAACATGAAGTGATGGCAGTGGATGAATGGCACGACAATGGGTCTCAGGATCTCGTCATGGTGTCTCTGTACATTCAAAATTGCCATTGATAAAATGCAATTGTGTTCGTTGTCCGTAGCTTATGCCTGCCCATACCATAACCCCACAATGGGGCACTCTGTTCACAACGTTGACATCAGCAAACCCCTCGCCCACCCGACGACATACACGTGGTCTGCGGTTGTGAGGCCAGTTGGACGTACTGCCAAATTCTCTAAAACAACGTTGGAGGCGGCTTATAGTAGAGAAATTAACATTCAATGATCTGGAAACAGCTCTGGTGGACATTCTTATAGTCAGCATGCCAACTGCAAGCTCCCTCAAAACTTGAGACATCTGTGGCATTGTGTTGTGTGACAAAACTGCACATTTTAGAGTGGCCTTCTATTGTCCCCAGCACAAGGTGCACCTGTGTAATGATCACGCTGTTTAATCAGCTTCTTGATATGCCACACCTGTCAGGTGGATGGATTATCATGGCAAAAGGAGAAATGCTCACTAACAGGGATGTAAACAAATTTGTTCACAAAATTTGAGATAAATAATCATTTTGTGCATATGGACAATTTTGGGGATCTTTTATTTCAGCATGCGACTAACACTTTACATGTTGCGTTTATATTTTTGTTCAGTTTAATTCCACTAAAAACACCACAAAGGCAACAAATAGGGTTGAGTCGAGAAGAGGGTGGCACCGAGTAGCCAGTAAGTGAACTGTTCCCCAGTTTGACAACAGAGTGGCACCTGACAGGATGAGACCATTAACCAACATGGAGCAAAGTAAGGAAAAACACAAACAGAACAGAACATTCTGTGATGTCATAATACCAAAGGTTGAGACATTGGATGCAACGGTATTATTCTAACTGGAGGAGGTGCCAAAGCTATTTTTATGCAACATTTTATGGAGGTCATTATGATAGAAGTTTGATGGATGCAATACATTTATGTTTCTTTGACTACTTGCTGCTCAGTTAATGCTACCGTTTGAAATACCTAGGCCAACAGGTAATACATGTCTAGTGTGATGGTCCTTCAATCTTCTAGCTACAAGCACATTCACATTGAATAGCTTTAACTGATGACTAAAACAAGAAAACTCATAGCAGCTATGGGAATTACTTTGGGGGCCAAAAGAGAGACTTCCTGTCCAAACTGCAGGTAATGGAGACTTTGCACTGGGAGAAGAACTCCCACAGACACAGGAAGAGAAAATCTCTTAAATCCCTATATAGACTAACTGCTGGCAGTAGTTCTGTACCTTTCTTACAACTACAATAGATAAAAACACCAAAAAAGTCCTTACTAGGCAATTCAAACACTAGGCGATTCTGCAGCATGACTGGCTGTAGAGTGGGTGTCGTCATGGGCCAGGGTTTGGAGAGAAGAGGGCACTTTCTTAGTGAGAAAGGCACACTCATAGTTCAGCATCTCAAAACAACCAAAGTATCAAGATCGTGACATCTCTTGAAAAGTGACTGACGTACTAGCAGATCACAGAACTCCCATCACTAAAAGAGAGTTTGAGGAGGTTGGTGAACCAGTGGTTTTTAAAAACACCCCATTACTGTTAACCATGCTGTGATAATTAAAGCTATGATGACGGCGACAGAGGAAAGTGGACCCTTGTTGTGACCCGCTGAATTAAAGGGCCAGTCAATGATGATGAAACAGCCTCTTGGTCCCTTCATTTAATACGAATGAAACTAAACCCTTTCCCACTGTCAGACTTTTTTTACATAGCTGGACAGAACATAACATAAGCTAATTTTCCTCTATACCTCAGACGTAACTCGACTGTCAACACAGGTCAAATCTCAGCAGGTTTTGGCTTTAGTGCACTCTAGAACTGCACAAATAGGTACCGGTATTTACACAAAGTGCCAAAAACTAACACCGTCTCTGTGATCCTTAGCATTTACCTGCCACCCAGGGTCCATGACATGAGACATGACATTAGTTTTATTAAAAAACCTATATTTGAGGGGAGTTTAGGGGGAGGGAGTTAAATGATATTTACAGTTGTTAAAATTATTTAAAATGGCTTTTCCCCCAGTTTTTTTTCCAGTTTCCTGTGGTGGCTTCCGTGAAAACCTTTTCAGCAGCTTCTATAGAGTCGACACGGGGGCATCTCTTCACGGCTCCTCAGACGACGTTAGAAGCTCCAGTAAGGCCCCAACCGCTCCAAAATAGCCCTACAGAAAACACACAACGCGGTAAATATAGTATTATTACTAAATACTCAAATGCAGTACGAGTACTATTACCACACTAATGAATGGAATCAAGGAAATTGATTATGGAATCTGGGGAGCTATGGGGTTGACGGCTTTGTTTACGTTCAGTCTGCCAGGATCTAAAATCCAAACTAAAATCGAGTGCTCTACCTCGTGTTCTAAGAACAAGGCCTTCAGTTGCCCCTTTGACCAGAAGTCCATGGCGTAGGCCAGCAGCTTAGTTGAAATGGTGTTGATCCGTAAGAAATTCCCAACAAACACAACTCTCTCGATTTTCTGAAAGTGAAAAAAGGTAGTAAAATATATGTCATGTGTCCAATTCACTCGTTTTCCCACTAAGAACACCATTACAAAACCAATACTGCAGTGAGTCTTGCGAAACACAACAGATTAACAGTTCTGAATCATAACAACAGGAACGGTTAACATTTTAACATGATTCAAGTTATTTTGACGAAATTATATTACAAAACACAAGTACAGTGGGGGAAAAAAAGTATTTAGTCAGCCACCAATTGTGCAAGTTCTCCCACTTAAAAAGATGAGAGAGGCCTGTAATTTTCATCATAGGTACACGTCAACTATGACAGACAAAATTAGAAAAAAAAATCCAGAAAATCACATTGTAGGATTTTTTATGAATTTATTTGCAAATTATGGTGGAAAATAAGTATTTGGTCAATAACAACAGTTTCTCAATACTTTGTTATATACCCTTTGTTGGCAATGACACAGGTCAAATGTTTTCTGTAAGTCTTCACAAGGTTTTCACACACTGTTGCTGGTATTTTGGCCCATTCCTCCATGCAGATCTCCTCTAGAACAGTGATGATTTGGGGCTGTCGCTGGGCAACACAGACTTTCAATTCCCTCCAAAGATTTTCTATGGGGTTGAGATCTGGAGACTGGCTAGGCCACTCCAGGACCTTGAAATGCTTCTTACGAAGCCACTCCTTCGTTGCCCGGGCGGTGTGTTTGGGATCATTGTCATGCTGAAAGACCCAGCCACGTTTCATCTTCAATGCCCTTGCTGATGGAAGGAGGTTTTCACTCAAAATCTCACGATACATGGCCCCATTCATTCTTTCCTTTACACGGATCAGTCGTCCTGGTCCCTTTGCAGAAAAACAGCCCCTTGGTGTTCTTTGGATGCAACTCAGCATTCTTTGTCCTCCAAACACGACGAGTTGAGTTTTTACCAAAAAGTTATATTTTGGTTTCATCTGACCCTATGACATTCTCCCAATCCTCTTCTGGATCATCAAAATGCACTCTAGCAAACTTCAGACGGGCCTGGACATGTACTGGCTTAAGCAGGGGGACACGTCTGCCACTGCAGGATTTGAGTCCCTGGCAGCGTAGTGTGTTACTGATGGTAGGCTTTGTTACTTTGGTCCCAGCTCTCTGCAGGTCATTTACTAGGTCCCCCGTGTGGTTCTGGGATTTTTGCTCACCGTTCTTGTGATCATTTTGACCCCACGGGGTGAGATCTTGCGTGGAGCCCCAGATCGAGGGAGATTATCAGTGGTCTTGTATGTCTTCCATTTCCTAATAATTGCTCCCACAGTTGATTTCTTCAAACCAAGCTGCTTACCTATTGCAGATTCAGTCTTCCCAGTCTGGTGCAGGTCTACAATTTTGTTTCTGGTGTCCTTTGACAGCTCTTTGGTCTTGGCCATAGTGGAGTTTGGAGTGTGACTGTTTGAGGTTGTGGACAGGTGTCTTTTATACTGATAACAAGTTCAAACAGGTGCCATTAATACAGGTAACGAGTGGAGGACAGAGGAGCCTCTTAAAGAAGAAGTTACAGGTCTGTGAGAGCCAGAAATCTTGCTTGTTTGTAGGTGACCAAATACTTATTTTCCACCATAATTTGCAAATAAATTCATTAAAAATCCTACAATGTGATTTTCTGGATTTTATTTTCTCAATTTGTCTGTCATAGTTGACGTGTACCTATGATGAAAATTACAGGCCTCTCTCATCTTTTTAAGTGGGAGAACTTGCACAATTGGTGGCTTACTAAATACTTTTTCCCCCCACTGTACATACACATAAAACTGTAGCAACATTGGAAGAAAAATATGAATTACGACCACAATGCGAAGCTAAAAGACAGGAGTCTGCTGTACGTCCCCGGCCCTGTACTCAATGTGATTCAATTTACAACGCCAGAGATGAGAAATCAGTTGGACCTTGAAACGCTAGGTACAGTATGTATCTGTACTGCTGTGTCCCTGTTGAACTGAACTGCCTTGCACTGTTTGTCCTGTCCTGTACAATCACTATGACACTAAAACAAGTTCCTATCAACCATTGTTGTTCGGGCAATTAAGTATTCTATTTTCTGTGGTTCATGCTTTAGGACAAAGTCTAAAGGTCAGATGGTGGCGGCGGCACTGAAGCTGTGTGCCATTTGATAGCCCTGGTAACACTGTCAAGAAGCTGAAAGCACACAGAAAACCACCCAAATCACTTTAATATGCGGTTGTCCCACCTAGCTACCTTAAGATTCATGCGCTAACTTTAAAGTCGGTCTGGATAAGAGCGTCTGCTAAATGACTAACGTGGAAATGCAAATATGCCCTTCAGACAACTACTTCTCCTGAAAACATACACTACATGATCAAAAAGTATGTGGACACCTGCACGTCGGAACATCTCATTCCAAAATCATGGGCATTAATATGGAGTTGGTCCCCCCTTTGCTGCTATAACAGCCTCCACTCTTCTGGGAAGGCTTTCCACTAGATGTTGGAACATTGCTGCAGGGACTTGCTTCCATTCAGCCACAAGAGCATCAGTGAGGTCGGGCATTGATGTTGGGCGATTAGGCCTGGCTCGCAGTCGGTGTTCCAATTCATCCCAAAGGTGTTCGATGGGGTTGAGGTCAGGGCTCTGTGCAGGCCAGTCAAATTCTTCCACACCGATCTCGACAAACCATTTCTGTATGGACCTCGCTTTGTGCACAGGGGCATTGTCATGCTGAAACAGGAAAAGCCCTTCCCCAAACTGTTGCCACAAAGTTGGAAGCACAGAATCGTCTAGAATGTCATTGTATGCTGTAGCGTTAAGATTTCCCTTCACTGGAACGAAGGGGCCTAGCCCGAACCATGAAAAACAGCCCCAGACCATTATTCCTCCTCCACCAAACTTTACACTATGCATTCGGGCAGGTAGCGTTCTCCTGGCATCCGCCAAAATCACATTTGTCCATCGGAATACCAGATGATGAAGCATGATTCTTCACTCCAGATAACGCGTTTCCACGGCTTCAGAGTCCAATCGCGGTGAGCTTTACACCACTCTAGCCGATGCTTGGCATTGCGCATGGTGATCTCAGGCTTGTGTGCGGCTGCTCGGCCATCGAAACCCATTTCATGAAGCTCCTGACGAACAGTTCTTGTGCTGACGTTGCTTCCAGAGGCAGTTTGGAACTCGGTAGTGAGTGTTACAACCGAGGACAGATTAATTTTACACGCTACGCACTTCAGCACTCGGCGGTCCCGTTCTGTGAGCTTGTGTGGCCTACCACTTCGCAGCTGAGCTGTTGTTGCTCCTAGACGTTTCCACTTCACAATAACAGCACTTACAGTTGACCGAGGGCATCTCTAGCAGGGCAGAAATTCGACGAACTGACTTGTTGGAAAGGTGGCATCCTATGACAGTGCCAGGTTGAAAGTCACTGAGCTCTTTAAGGTCATTCTACTGCCAATGTTTGTCTATGGAGATTGCATGGCTGTGTGCTCAATTTTATACACCTGTCAGCAACGGGTGTGGCTGAAATAGCCGAATTCACTAATTTGAAGGGGTGTCCACATACTTTTGTATATATAGTGTAAATTAGTGAATTCATGTTAATGTGTAATAATGCAAACTGTATGGAGAATGTGTGTGTGGTTACCTCGTTGACGGCACACATGCGTGCAATGGAACCTATGTTATTGGTGATGGTGACTAGCGTAGCCCGGGCCAGGTCCTCTTTGCTGATGGAGTCTCGTTTCTCCTTGCTCATCATGTGGCCAAAGCTGTGGGTTAAAGGTCACCCCAGAACAGAAACACAACAGGAGAATCAAAAGGTGCTTCTTATAAAGGTGCTTACATGAATCGACAAATGCTTCTTTAAATTTAAACAATACCAATTAGGGTTGCACAAGACTCCCAGAATCAGGAGGGAACAAGCAGCAAACCCGTATTCCTCCAACCAGGATTTGTGGAAAAACAGGGAATTTATTGAAAGTTCCATGAATTTTGAAACCCTAGTACCAATAAGGGATTGTTTTGTTAGAAATGTAAGGGAATTGAACATCATATCATAAGGCCAGTGATAAAGATGCCTTCTGGGACAAGGACACTGTTGTGTTACTGCACCTACGGGTAACTGCCAAAATAAAGGAAACACGAACATAACGTTTCTTAATAGGGTGTTGGGCCACTACGAGCCAGAACATCTTCAATGCACCTTGGCATAGATTCTACAAATGTCTCAAACTCTATTGGGTGGCACCGCTCCAGAATCTCCTATAAGTGTTCAATTGGGTTGAGATCTGGTGACTGAGACGACCATGGCATATGGTTTACATCATTTTTCATGTCTATCAAACCAGTCAGTGACCACTCGTGTCCTGTGGATGGGCGCATTGTCATCCTATAGGGACATAACCATGGTGCCAAAATAATGGCCTGCCCCGAATTTGTTTTTTTTTACACATGACCCTAAGCATGATGGGATGTCAATTGTATTACTCAGGAACCACACCTGTGTGGAAGCACCTGCTTTCAATACGCCTGTCCCTCGTTTACTCAAGCGTTTTCATTATTTTGGCAGTTACCTGTACATTGCACCTTATATCTGTGTACCTGCTTTTACAGTTCATTAACTACCATAATAACCCACTTAATACTGGGTAACTATTTGAACTTCATTGGTAATTAATTACACCGAGACTGAATTATTACACAGACATACTGAATTATTACCAAGAATTAAGAATTAATTCAGGATTAGTTGCAGAATTTATACTATTGCGGAAGCAACTAGCAACACCTTTTTTCCTCTGAGCTCCTCGGTGCCAGCGCTCCGTTAGAAAAGACCCCTGCATTTCTAAGAAACAAGAATTTAAATACCCAAATAAGTATATATTTCTAAAACCAATCCCAGTATGGCATATTTTCAGAGGGAGCTCTTGAAATTACAAAGTGTGTTTCATGTGCCATCACTTACGAATAAAAGCCTACATAATTCAACATATGACTATGTAAATTAACTCAGTTTAATGAATAAGAAGGCATGACTGGCCGGTTTATCATGGTAGATAATATAGCCTGATGTTCATCATAATGATCTTAATAATGATTATATAAATGGTACATATCAGGGTTGGGGTCAATTAAAAAATCAATCTCATTTAAAATTCAGAAAGTAAACCAATTTCCAATACCACATTTTCCTAAATGAAGCAAATTGGAATTTCAGTGTACTACCCGAATTGACTGGAATTTAAATGGAATTGACCAACCCTGGTACATATATTATCATAGTAGATATAATGGTACATATATTATCATAGTAGATATAATAGTAGATATAATGGTATATATATTATCATGGTAGATATAATAGTAGATATAATGGTACATATATTATCATGGTAGATATAATGGTATATATATTATCATGGTAGATATAATGGTACATATATTATCATGGTAGATATAAATGGTACATCCACTCAGTGGCTAGTACTGGGTCAGACCCCCTTTGCCACCAGAACAGCCAGAATTCTTCAGGACATAGAAACGTTGCTCAATTGGTATCAAGGGACCTAACGTAACCGAATGCCTCGATGCCTGGCTGCACTCAGTGGCCAGTTTATTAGATACACCACCCCATTCATGAAAATGGTTCGCTCCTACAGACAGTGAGTCACGTGGCTTGCTATATAAAGCAGGCAGACAGGCTTTGAGGCATCCAGTTACTGTTCGATTGAACGTTAGAATGGGCAAAAACGAGTGACCTAAGCGACCGAGCGTGGTATGATAGTCGCGTGCCGGTTCCAGTATCTCAGAAACGGCCGGCATCCTGGGCTTTCCACGCACGACGTGTCTAGGGTTTACCGAGAATGGTGCGACAAACAAAAAACATCCAGTCAGTGGCAGTCCTGTGGGCTGAAAACAGCTCGTTGATGAGAAGAATCGTGCAAGCTAACAGGCGGGCCACAAACAGGCAAATAACGGCGCAGTACAACAGTGGTGTGCAAAACGGCATCTCGGAACGCACAACTCGTCGGTCCTTGTCACGGATGGGCTACTGCAGCAGACGACCACACCGGGTTCCACTCCTATCAGCTAAAAACAAGAAGACGCCGGCTTTAGTGGGCACGCGATCACCAACACTGGACAATTGAGTGGAAAAACATTGCCTGGTCTGACGAATCCCGGTTCCTGTTGCATCATGCTGATGGCAGAGTCAGGGTTTAGCATACGCAACATGAGTCCATGGCCCCATCCTGCCCGGTGTCAACGGTACAGGCTGGTGGCAGTGGTGTAATGGTGTGGGGAATGTTCTCCTGGCACACGTTAGGTCCCTTGATACCAATTGAGCAACGGCTGAACGCCACAGTGTATATGAACATTGTTGCTGACCAGGTGCAGCCTTCCATGGCTACAGGAGGGTCCAACCCAGTACTAGATGGATGTACCTAATAAACTTGCCAATAAGTGTAAATTAAGTGGTAGATATAACTCATCATACACTTAAGTGTAAAAAACATTAGGAACACCTTCCTAATATTGAGTTGCACCCCCTTTTGCCCTAAGTAAACAGCCTCAATTCGTCGGGGCATGGACTCTACAAGGTGTCGAAAGTGTTCCACAAGGATGCTGGCCCATGTTGACTCCAATGCTTCCCACAGTTGTGTCAAGTTGGCTGGATGTCCTTTGGGTGGTGGACCATTCTTGATACACAGGAAACTGTTGAGCGGGAAAATCCCAGCAGCGTTACAGTTCTTGACACAAACCGGTGCGCCTGGCACCTACTACCATACCCCGTTCAAAGGCACTTAAATGTTTTGTCTTGCCCATTCACCCTCTGAATGGCACACATACACAATCCATGTCTCAGTTGTCTCAAGGCTTAAAATCCTTCTTTGACCTGCCTCCTCCCCGTCATCTACACTGATTAAAGTGGATTTAACAAGTGACATCAATAAGGGATCATAGCTTTCACCTGGATTTACTTGGTCAGTCTATGTCATGGAAAAAGCAGGTGTTCTTAATGTTTACTCAGCGTATATTATCATAGTAGATATAATGGTATATATTATCATGGTAGATATAATGGTATATATTATCATGGTAGATATAATGGTATATATTATCATGGTAGATATAATGGTATATGTTATCATGGTAGATATAATGGTATATATTATCATGGTAGATATAATGGTATATATTATCATGGTAGATATAATGGTATATATTATCATGGTAGATCCAGTAGAATGTCCCGGTACTGAGTGGTCCCTCGCTCACCTGGAGGCCACAGCAGATCCTTGGAGACTGAAGCGCTCATAGTCTCCTCCGTAGATATCCTTCACCAGCTTGTCCACATTGCTGCTGTCCCCTCTGCTAGCCATATCCAGCGCCTCTTCAAACGTCTCACACCCAGTCAGCAAGCAGCACAGGCCCAGGAACGTTCCCCCACCAAGACTGAGGGGAGGAAAACAGAGACATACAGTGCCTTCAGAAAGAATTCATATTCCTCACCCTGCTACACACAATACCCCATAATGACGAAGTGAAAACATGTTTTTAGAGATTTTTTTTGCGAATGTATTGAAAATGAAATACTGAAATATCGCATTTACACATAAGTATTCACACCCCTTTGCTATGACACTCCAAATTGAGGGGAGGACACAGAGAAGGGATCAGGCCCAGGAGCGTACCCCCACCAAGACTGTAAATCATGCATTGACATCAATGGGAAATGTGTGACATTTTGTAGTTACACCCATGCGTGCTTAAAGTTACGGTCTCGTCCCTTATGCTGAGGAAGGGTCATTGAAAGAGGTCCTGAATTAACTTACAGCAGAGGCCTAAAAATGAGTCTCTTCTCAGCCTGAGACAGGGAGAGTTAGTGAGGGTAGGCAGAACAGGTCCCATAGGAACTGTAAGATGACCCCAAGTCCACAGGAACTGTCACAAGCCCACAGGAACTGTCACAAGCCCACAGGAACTGTCACAAGGCCCACGGGAACTGTCACAAGCCATCAGGAACTGTCACAAGGCCCACAGGAACTGTCACAAGGCCCACAGGAACTGTCACAAGGCCCACAGGAACTGTCACAAGGCCCACAGGAACTGTCACAAGCCCCACAGGAACTGTCACAAGGCAACAGGAACTGTCACAAGGCCTCAGGAACTGTCACAAGCCCTCAGGAACTGTCACAAGCCCACAGGAACTGTCACAAGCCAACAGGAACTGTCACAAGCCCACAGGAACTGTCACAAGCCAACAGGAACTGTCACAAGCCAACAGGAACTGTCACAAGCCAACAGGAACTGTCACAAGCCAACAGGAACTGTCACAAGACATTAGGAACTGTCACAATGACCTGGGTGGTCTCTCCTTGGTTACCCAAACACTTTTACTAATCTAACCTTGACTAAACCACAGCCAAGTTATCCTTCTTTGAAAGAGTTACAGTGCCTTCAGAAATTATTCACACCCCTGGAGTTTTTCCACATTTTGTTGTGTTACAGCCTGAATTTAAAATTGATTAAATTGAGATTTTGTGTCACTGGCCTACACAAAATACCCCATAATGTCAAAGTGGAATTAACTAAAAATGAAAAGCTGAAATGTCTTGAGTCAATAATTATTCAACCCCTTTGTTATGGAAAGCCTAAATAAGTTCAGGAGTAAAGATTTGCTTAACAAGTCACATAATAAGTTGCATGAACTCTGTGTGCAATAATAGTTTTAACAAGATTTTTGAATGACTACCTCATCTCTGTACCCCACAATTATCTGTAAGGTCCCTCAGTCGAGCAGTGAATTTCAAACACAGATTCAACCACAAAGACCAGGGAGGTTTTCCAATGCCTCGCAAAGAAGGGCACCTATTGGTAGATGTGTAAAATACAAATAAAGTAGACATTGAATATCCCTTTGAGCACGGTGAAGTTATTCATTACACTTTGGATGGTGTATCAATACACCTAGTCACTACAAAGATACAGGCGTCCTTCTTAATTCAGTTGCCGGAGAGGAAAGAAACCGCTCAGGGATTTCACCATGAGGCCAATGGTGACTTTAAAACAGTCAGAGTTTAATGGCTGTGATAGAAAACTGAAGATGGATCAACAACATTGTAGTAACTCCACAATACTAACCTAATTGACAGAGTGAAAAGAAGGAAGCCTGTACAGAATACAAATATTCCAAAGAATGCATCCTATTTACAACAAGGCACTAAAGTAATACTGCAATAAAATGTGTCAAAGCAATTAACTTTTTGTCCTGAATACAAAGTGTTATGTTCGGGGCAAATCCAATACAACACATTACCGAGTACCACTCTCCATATTTTCAAGCAAAGTGGTGGCTGCATCATGTTATGGGTATGCTTGTAATCGTTAAGGTCTGGGGAGTTTTTCAGGATAAAAAATAAATGGAATGGAGCTAAGCACAGACAAAATCCTAGAGGAAAACCTTGTTCAGTCTGCTTTCCACCAGACACTGGGTGGTGAATTCACCTTCCAGCAGGACAATATCCTAAAACACAAGGCCAAATCTACAAGAAGAAGGTGAATGGTCCTGAGTGGCCGAGTTACAGTTTTGACTACTTCAATCTATGGCAAGACCTGAAAATGTCTGTCTAGCAATGATCAACAACCAATTTGAAAGAGCTTGAAGAATTTTGAAAATAAAAATGGGCAATGTTGCACAATCCAGGTGTGGAAAGCTCTTAGAGACTTACCCAGAAAGACTCACAGCTGTAATCGCTACCAAAAAGGTTATTCTACAAAGGGGTGTGAATATTATGTAAATGAGATATTTCAGTATTTCATTTTCAAAAAATGTGCTAACATTTCTAAAAACATGCTTTCACTTTGTCATTATGGGTTATTGTGTTTAGATGGGTGAGATAAAACAAATATATTTAATCAATTTTGAATTCAGGCTGTATCAACAAAATGTAGAATAAGTCATGGGGTCTGAATACTTTCTGAAGGCACTATAACTGAAAGCTTAAAAATGACATACAGTGCTTCAGAAAGTATTCATATTCCTCACCCAGCTACACACGATACCCCATAATGACGAAGTGAAAACATGTTTTTAGAGATTTTTGCAAATGTATTGAAAATGAAACTGAAATATCTCATTTACATAAGTATTCACACCCCTTTGCTATGACACTCCAAAATTGAGTTCAGGCGCATCCAATTTCCTTTGATCATCCTGGAGATGTCACTACAACTTGATTGGAGTCCACCTGTGGGCAATTCAAATGTTTGGACGTGATTTAGAAAGAAACGCACTTGTCTATATAAGGTCCCACAGTGCACTTCAGAGCAGAGACTATACCAGGAAGTCCATAGAAGGAACTGTCCGTAGATCTCCGAGATAGAATTGTGATGAGGCATACAGTACCAGTCAGAAGTTAGGACACACCTACTCATTCAAGGGGTTTTCCTTTATTTTTACTATTTTCTACATTGTAGAATAATAGCGAAGACATCAAAACTATGAAATAACACATGGAATCATGTAGTAACCAATAAAGTGTTAAACAAATCAAAATATATTTTTAGATTTTAGATTCTTCAAAGTAGCCACCCTTTGCCTTGATGACAGCTTTGCACACTCTTGGCATTCTCTCAACCAGCTTCATGAGGTAGTCACCTGGAATGCATTTCAATTAACAGGTGTGCCTTGTTAAAAGTTAATTTGTGGAATTTCTTTCCTTCTTAATGTGTTTGAGCCAATCAGTTGTGTTGTGACAAGGTAGGGGTGGTATCCAGAATATGGTATTTGACCAAATAGGGCTAAGTCCATATTATGGCAAGAACAGCTCAAATAAGCAAAGAGAAATGACAGTCCATCATTACTTTAAGACATGAAGGTCAGTCAATCCGGAAAATGTCAAGACTTTAAAGTTTCTTCAAGTGCAGTCGCAAAAACCATCAAGCGCTATGATGAAACTGGCTCTCATGAGGACCGCCACAGGAAAGGAAGAACGAGAGAATAAGTTAGAGTTAACTGCACCTCAGATTGCAGCTCAAATAAATGATTCACAGAGTTCAAGTAACAGACATCTCAACATCAACTGTTCAGAGGAGACTGCATGAAATCAGGCCTTCATTGTCGAATTGCTGCAAAGAAACCACTACTAAAGGACACCAATAAGAAGAAGAGACTTGCTTGGGCCAAGAAACACGGCAGGTAGCTTAGTGGGTAAGAGCGTTGTGCCAGTAACCAAAAGGTCGCTGGTTCTAATCCCCGAGCCGACTAGGTGAAAAATCTGTCGATGCGCCCTTAAGCAAGGCACTTAACCCTAATTGCTCCTGTAAGTCGCTCTGGATAAGAGCGTCTGCTAAATTACTTTTAAAAAACAAACAAAAAAAACACGAGCAATGGACATTAGACCGGTGGAAATCTGTCCTTTGGTCTGATGAGTCCAAATATGAGACTTTTGGTTCCAACCGCTGTGTCTTTGTGAGACGCACAGTAGGTGAACGGATTATCTCTGCATGTGTGGTTCCCACCGTGAAGCATGGAGGAGGTGGTGTGATGGTGTGGGGGTGCTTTGCTTGTGACACTGTCAGTGATTTATTTAGAATTCAAGGCACACAACCAACACAGCATTCTGCAGCGATACGCCATCCCATCTGGTTTGCGCTTAGTGGGACTATCATTTGTTTTTCAACAGGAAAATGACCCAAAACACACCTCCAGGCTGTGTAAGGGCTATTTGACCAAGGAGAGTGATGGAGTGCTGCATCAGATGACCTGGCCTCCACAATCACCCGACCTCAACCCAGTTGAGATGGTTTGGGATGATTTGGACTGCAGAGTGAAGGAAATGCAGCCAACAAGTGCTCAGCATATGTGGGAACCCCTTCAAGACTGTTGGAAAAGCATTCCTCATGAAGCTGGTTAAGAGAATGCCTAGAGTGTGCAAAGCTGTCATCAAGGCAAAGGGTGGCTACTTTGAAGAATCTCAAATATAACATATATTTTGATTTGTTTAACACTTTTTTGGATACTACATGATTCCATATGTGTTATTTCATAGTTTTGACGTCTTCACTATTATTCTACAATGTAGAAAATAGTAAAAATAAAGAAAAACCCTTGAATGAGTAGGTATGTCCAAACTTTTGACTAGTACTGTATATCAGGGGATGGGTATAAAACAATGTCTAGAGTGTTGCAAGTTTCCAAGAGCACAGTGGTCTCCATCACTGGGAAATTGAAAAAATATGGACCTACCCAGACTCTGCCTAGAGCTGGCCATCTGGGCAAACTGAGCAACCGGGCAAATTAAGCAACCAGGCAAGGAGGACCTTGGTCAGGGACGTAACCAAGAACCTAATGATCACTCTGACAGAACTACAGAGGTTCCTTGGCTGAGATGGGAGAACCTGCCAGAAGGACAACAGTCTCTACAGCACTTCACCAATCTTGGCTTTATGAGAGAGTGGCCAGACGGAAGCCACATGACAGCACGCCTGGAGTTTAAAAGACTCTAAAATCATAAGGCAAAATATTCTGTGGTCTGATGAGACAAAAATTAAACTATTTGGCCTATTTGCAAAGCCTGGAGAAAACCAGGCACAGCTCATCACCTGTCGAAACACCATCCCTACCATGAAGCATGGTGGTGGCAGCATCATGCTATGGGGATGCTTTTCAGCGGCAGGAACTGGGAGACTGGTAAGGATAGAGGGAACAATGAATGGAGCCAAATACAGGTAAATCCTTGATAAGAACCTGCTTCAGAGTGCAAACGACCTGAGACTGGGGGCAAAGATTTACGTTCCAACAGGACAATGACCCCAAGCATACAGCCAAAGCAACGATGGAATGGCTTCAGAACAAGAATGTGAAAGTCCTTGAGTGGCCCAGCCAAAGCCTAGACTTGAATCCCATTGAATATCTGTGGAAAGACTTGAAGATTGCTGTTCACTGCCGCTCCCCATCTAACTTAACAGAGCTTGAGAAAATCTGCAAGGAAGAATGGAAGAAAATCCCCAAATCCAGATGTGCAAAGCTGATACAGACATACCCAAGACAATTCAAAGCCGTAATCGCCGCCAAAGGTGCTTCTACAAAGTATTGACTCAGAGGTGTGAATACTTATGTAAATTAATGATTTCTGTATTTCATTTTCAATAGATTTGCAAATCGAACAACTTGTTTTCACTGTCATTATGGGGTATTTTGTGTGTAGATGGGTGAGGCTGTAACACAACAAAATGTGGAATAAGTCAAGGGGTATGAATATTTTCTGTAGGCACTGTAAATACCAGCATGAGCTCTTTCACCCCGGTGCCGTTTTCTATTTTGAGACGTTCCAAGGTTGAACTGCCGTAAATATAGACTGTCCTTGAGCAACGAGCAGGCAGACAGTCCCTACTGTCTAGGGTGCATGCTGCACATGCAGCGCTTTGTATTCTGACGTAGACGTTGTTCAAACCTGGCTTGCTAATAACAATAAAAGCAGTCTAACTATTATCCATTGTGAGTCACAATTCAACTACAAAAAACAGCTACTATGAATGACGCACAGCAATTGTACATTATTGCTTTTCTCTGTAATCTATGTTGACATGACAACGTATGATGATTCTCTCTTCTTATTATGAAAAATGTACCAGTGTCTTTTTTGAAGATTACAGTTCCTTTCTGTACAATGACACCCACCATGTTATAAAAGTATTTATTTGGGTCATTCACCTGGGAAAACCCAGTTCACCGCTGATAAATAAAATGGATTTGAATTGGCACTGGTGAACAGCACTGTCCTTAATAGCCTAAACATTTCAGATTTTAAACACTACCATAAATGCAGACCTTCAAGGCTTTTGAAAATATAAAAGAGAATCCCTGTCCGTTTTGTCCTGTGCTTTACCTGGTACCGGTGACCCGTTTGTAGTCATCTTTGGAGTACACAGCAAGGATGCTAACCCCAGATCCAATGTTGACCAGCAGCATAGGGAACGGGTCGGCCAGACTGCACGGGGTCTTCACACTGTTCTGGGTGTCTGACGGGTTCTCCAAGTAGTAACACTGAGGGTGACCGTTGAAGCTCACTGAGTCCACGTAGAGCAGGCCACGAATCAGACAGTCAAGCTCATCCAGCTTCAACAGCTCTAAATCAGCCATCTGGAGAGGGGGCGGAGGTGGGAATTTGGTAGAAAGAAAGAGAGAGAGAGAGAGAGAGAGAGAGAGAGAGAGAGAGAGAGAGAGAGAGAGAGAGAGACACAGAGAGAGAGAGAGACACAGAGACAGAGACAGAGACAGAGAGAGAGAGAGAGAGAGAGAGAGAGAGAGACACAGAGAGAGAGAGAGACAGAGACAGAGACAGAGACAGAGAGAGAGAGAGAGAGAGAGAGAGAGAGAGAGAGAGAGAGAGAGAGACAGAGACAGAGACAGAGACAGAGACAGAGACAGAGACAGAGACAGAGACAGAGACAGAGAGAGAGAGAGAGAGAGAGAGACAGACAGACAGACAGACAGACAGACAGACAGACAGACAGACAGACAGACAGACAGAAAGGAGATGTGGTGTGAGGCAAATCAAATCATGCAGAGTAAGATCAGAGCATGTGTATAAAGCAAACAGCAGTCAGGGTTAATGATGATGAATGACTGGTTATATAACAAAGCAGAGAAGCACAGCCAGCCGGCACCACAATGAACTTTATGACAACACACCACGTTTCAACACCAGTACAGTAGAGCACAGGGTTCAAAAAGGTCCAGAGCCCAGTGTTTCAAAAAACTAACGTATTGACGCTCTTCTTGACCACTTATCGGTTTCCGGATCAAGGAGGAGAGAGGACAGAGGAGTCGAGGACGGTCTTTTGCCCAAAGGAGACTCTCCCGATCACTCACCGTTCTGAAGTCATTCTCAAACTTGTAGGCCCCGCCGCCAGTGGCGCAGAGCGTGGTGTGGAGGCTGGAGAAGTTCTTGTCCCGGCCCATCTGGATGAAGCGGTGCATGGCCTGCGTGGGGAAGCGGATGAAGTGCAGGTTGCCCGTCCGGCCGCACACGGTCAGGTTCTTCAGCTCCAGGTGAACGTCTCGCACGCCCGTCTTCCCGTACGCCGTGTTGGAGGTCAGGTAGCGACGGATGCTCTTCAGGCTCTCCACCTCTTCCTGCTCCTCCTCCGCCGTGATGTCCTTGGGCTCGAAGTAGACCAGCTTCACCAGAGTACCGCCGATGTCCATCCCGAACCAGGGGAAGGCTGTCAAGGCAAAGCGAGAGATACATAAGCATTGAAGATGTTATTACCACATCGTTTCCCGGTTGTTTCAGCTGTAAGTCGCTTTGGATAAAAGCGTCTGCTAAATGGCATATTATTATTATTATTATTATCTCATTTGAGATATTTCAATGGCTGGTGGTGCCATTTTAAGTAGGTTATTTGTACATATGTTTGCTTACGCATGCAGACCAGGCAGATAGGTGGAGTAAAAATTAAAAAATAAACACTGTAGGCTAAATTCACAGCTACAACACAGCTCAAGTTGACATGGAAACCTGCTTTCGAGATGAATATTTTTTATTTTTCCTAGAGTGGTGGTGTTTGTTGTTGGGGTTTTTTGGGGTGTGGGCGGGGGCATTACAGTCGCACTTATATTTCAGGGATGAACATTCATTGAGATGCATCATAGAATGAGGCCTCTTTGCTGGTAGACCAGTTATTCTGTTCTAAATCCAGGTTAAAAACACTTCTCTTTTCACGTGCCTACGACTGAGCACTTAAACTGAACCACACTGTTTAGCCTTAGAGCTTCCTATGTTTTTATCTTATTTTTTTATTTTAATTTTTAATCTTTATATGTTTTGTTTTTTTATTGTATTTTTATTATTATGATGTTTTCATAATTTTTGATAAACATCTTTGTAAAGCACATTAAATTGCTTCGATGTATGAATTGTGCTATATAAATAAACTTGCTTGCTTGCTAAAGCAGCCTCTTTGCTGGTAGACAAGTTATTCTGTTCTAAAGAAGCCTCTTTTCTGGTCAAATGTCATATCTAGGTTTAGGAGAGTCACTACTTGACAAGAGGCAAAGTCTGCGTTGAGATTATGACTCCCAGAGTTCAATTAGTGTGCAAGACCTCTATAAAGTGATTATATAACATTCTGCCAAAACTGGTTATACCATATCTGATAGGATTCCATGAAAACATACCGGGAAGTGGACCCTCAACTGATAGTGAGACCAAGGTCTACTGCTACAAGCATTCCTTAGCTTGAGGGACCTAACCCTAACCCTAACCCCAACCCTAACCCTAACCCTAACCATAACCCTAACCCCTAACCCTAACCCCTAACCCTAACCATAACCCTAACCCTAACCATAACCCTAACCCTAACAACTGATGGAATGAGACCAGGGTCTACTGCTACAAGCTTTCCTTAGGTTGAAGGATTACTAGATGAGAGGCAAACCAGCCTCCCGAGTAGTGGAATCATTCTTTTTCAGGGAGCAGGGTTAGGGGCAGTTGGGGGTAGTAGAATCATTCTTTATCAGGGAGCACATGAAAGTCACCCCACCAGTGAGACTCCTGCCCTGCCCTGCTGTAGGTGCTTTGTGTGAGTGAGTGAGTGAGTGAGTGAGTGAGTGAGTGAGTGAGTGAGTGAGTGAGTGAGTGAGTGAGTGAGTGAGTGAGTGAGTGAGTGAGTGAGTGAGTGAGTGAGTGAGTGAGTGAGTGTCAGTAGAGAGAGGAAGTGTGAATAGAGAGGCTGTATGGTGGAGATGGAAAATCACAGAAGAGATAAGATTTTTATCTACATTCATATCCATCTGTAGGTGTTCTTCATTCAGAATGTCTTCTAGTTCTGGTATGTGATGCTCGTTCACATCCTGTATGACATGTCGCTATAAATCGTAATATCTGTTGGCGTTCAGGTGGGTTTTGAAAATGTTCTGTTCCCTAACTTTCTCTTTACTCTATCAATGCTACAGGATTAGTGATGGGACATACGATGTAGACCAAGGTTGGGCTCAATTCCATTTACATTCAGGAAGTACATTGAAATTCCAATTCTCTTCAATGCTTTTCAATGAGGAACATTTAGAATTGGAATTTGGTTTACTTTCTGAATTGACTGGAATTTAAATGGAATGGAGCCCAACCCTTGTGTAGTCTACCATACTCCACCCCTCCTCTTGATTTCCATTATAAACCAAGAGACCAGAACCCACCCTTCATTGGATAGTATTGTTGTGTTGCTTGTATTGTGTAATGTTGTATTGATTGCTGATGCCTTCTTGGACAGGTCTCCCTTGCAAAACAGTGTGTCTCAATGGGCTTTTCCTGGTGAATAAAGGTGAACAACAAAAAAAAGTATAAATAAAATGGACCTACACATACCAGTGAAACCAGTGTCAGTGTCCACAAAACGTGTCAGTCATCTGTGAACTGTAACTAGTGGTAGAAAATTGACAGATCTCTAATCTGGGATCTCTTTATGAGAGACGTTCCGTGCAAACAAAGACAACGACACTTTCAAAACCGACCGTTCCTCCTCACACTCCTGGGTGAAGGTTCCCCTAGGTACTGAGCTAGGATCAGCTTCCCCAAACCCAATCCTAACCTTAACCATTAGTGTGGAAAATGCTAAACTGATCAGGGTCAACTTCACACTACTCCCAGATGCTCCATTGAAAGGCTTTATATTGGTTAGCCTACACCGTGGTTTTAGCCAACGTTTTTCTAAACGCGTCTAATTTGGAATTTTCTGCAGTGGCTGCCAAATAACCTGGTGTGATGTTATGATTCATTGATACTAAAAAGTCAGAGCATATTTAAGTACAGTATTGATCAATTCATTACCAGCTTAGATGTAGGCAAATAGGAAGAGTGTTTTCTTTAACCAACTGATGCAGTACTTCATGCAATATCCCTGGGTAGATAACCTGTAGCTATAATAATCAATGGTAAATGTTAAGACTTGAGGTTATCCAAATGAGAGCTCAGCAAGAATGTTGAGGGCATTGCCAAGCTGAATGTGCATCTTGTGTAATACGCTACACCACTTCAGATCAATTAGGGCTCATTTGAAATCTCTATAATTACGCTGATATTGATCACACCATTTAGGTACATTGTGTGTTACTGATATGTTCATCTATAGCCTCAGTTTGTATTTACGTTTGACATTTTAGTCATTTAGCAGACACTCTTATCGAGAGCGACTTACAGGAGCAATTAGGGTTAAGTGCCTTGCTCACGGGCACATCAACAAGTTTTTTTTTTTATTTCACCTTTATTTAACCAGGTAAACCAGTTGAGAACAAGTTCTCATTTACAACTGCGACCTGGCCAAGATAAAGCAAAGCAGTGCGATAAAAACAACAACACAGAGTTACATATGGGGTAAAACAAAACAAAGTCAAAAATACAACAGAAATACATATATATATACAGTGTGTGCAAATGTAGCAAGTTATGGAGGTAAGGCAATAAATAGGCTATAGTGCAAAATAATTACAATTAGTATTAACACTGGAATGCTAGATGTGCAAGAGATGATGTGCAAATAGAGATACTGGGGTACAAATGAGCAAAATAAATAACAATATAGGGATGAGGTAGTTGGGCTGGCTAATTTCAGATGGGCTGTGTACTGGCCCAACGCTCTTAACCACTAGGCTACCTGCCACCCCGTTTGCCTTTTATGTGCCTACATACTGCATGGCATTAGGCATAGTTAGTGGTTTAAATCATATAGTTGATGGTTTAAAATGGCTTCAGTGAACTTGAAGTATACATTGCAACATCAGCATATGAAAAAATCTCAGGGTCAGACCCATCAAACGGCACCAAAGATCACCATTGAGATTTGAAACAACTGATTAATGATTAACCAACATATGGGCTTTGATGTGAACAATCAGGCTCTTTCCAAAAACGTATCTGAATATTGATACCGTAATACACTCGAAAAGACCAAGACATTAACTGCTGGTGTGGATGGATGCTTCCACTGGAAATCTCTAAAAACAGAGGGGGACATGCGACCAACCTGGACTCAGGGGTAGACGTAACATAGTACATGTAAATCCTCGACACTCAGATTAGTAAAATATGCTACATTTCATATGTATTACCATGTTACGAATTCGCAAAATGTATGATATGTTACGAATTCCAATTTGATGTTAGCTAGGTGGCTAACATTAGCTAGGCTAGGGGTTAAGGTTAGCTAGGCTAAAGTGTTATGGTTAGGGGAAGGGTTAGCTAACATGCTAAGTAGTTGCAAAGTAGATCAAAAGTAGTAAGTAGTTGCAAAGTTGCTAATTAGCTAAAATCCTAATGTTCCCCTTGATGAGACTTAACCTTTGCTAGACGTACACGCCTGACCAACCCAACAGGGTGCAACTGCAGCCCGCAATTCGGGGAGTTCCTGCATGTGATCATCAAGCATCCCATTGGTTCCTGCATGAACGCCCCCCCCGAGCACCCCATTGGTCGTCCCCGCCTCCCAATAGCACAGCAGATAGTCAATGACACAGTGTGCTAGCTAGTTTGATAGTTAGCGACACAGTGTATTAGCTCGCTTGATAGTTAGTGACAGTGTACTAGCTAGCTTAAAAGTTAGCGACATAGTGTCCTAGCTAGTTTGACAGTTAGCGACACAGTGAACTAGCTAGCTTGATAGTTAACAACACTGTGTGCTAGCTAGCATGATAGTTAGCGACACTGTGTCGACCCTGCCTCCCGCCTGCTGTGTACCGGTGTCCTCCTTAGGACTAGCTGGCTAAGCTAGCACTGTGTAATTTGCTCCCGCCTGCCAAACACATGCCCTTGCCGTTGTTAAGAGAACAGCGGAGAAACAGTGTCCGACAGTCGGGGGTGAAGGACACTGTCTACCGGTGTAGGGTTAGCTACTGTTGTCACCCCCGTCCATTCTTCTGTGGAGTTTATCGGTGGCTGGCATCCAACATCATTGTGCATTAATGCCCCCTACTTTACTGGAGTGCCCCCGCCTCCCACCTGTCCTAACTAAAAAATATATAAATGAAAGTATAATGAGGGTTGCTGCAGATGCAGGAACACATACATGCAGCAACACCCCACATGCAGCAACACCCCACATGCAGCAACACCACATGCAGCAACACCCCACATGAAGCAACACCCTACATGAAGCAACACCTACATGCAGCAACACCCCACATGCAGCAACACCACACATGAAGCAACACCTACATGCAGCAACACCCCACATGAAGCAACACCTACATGCAGCAACACCACACATGCAGCAACACCCCACATGAAGCAACACCTACATGCAGCAACACCCCACATGCAGCAACACCCCACATGCAGCAACACCCCACATGAAGCAACACCCTACATGAAGCAACACCCTACATGCAGCAACATCACACATGCAGCAACACCCCACATGAAGCAACACCTACATGCAGCAACACCCCACATGCAGCAACACACCATGGCGCACCCCACATGCAGCAACACACACATGCAGCAACACTTACATGCAGCAACACCCACATGCAGCAACACTTACATGCAGCAACACCCCACATGCAGCAACACCTACATGCAGCAACACTTACATGCAGCAACACCCACATGGAGCAACACTCACATGCAGCAACACCTACATGCAGCAACAACCTACATGCAGCAACAACCCACATGCAGCAACACCCACATGCCAACATGTAGCAACACCCCAACATGCAGGAACGCCTCGAATTGCAGGCCGCAATTGCACCCTTCTCGACCAACCACCCTACTTTCGTTTTTCCCTTAAGTAACCATTTTGTATTTTGTAACCATACCAAATGTAAATGTAAAAGGTAACATATCATACAAATTCCAGTTTATTTGATTTACATTTACTTTTACTATGCTACGTCTAGTCTATGAGACCAGGCTGGCGCGACAACTAGGGCACAGCAGACAATTCTCTCTCAGGTCTAACACAATTAGAGATGGAGCAGAGAGGAATGCTGACTAGCAGGCTAAGCCAGTGGACCGCTGAACTTGCCCTAGGTCTTTTCTAGAAAGAAACTCAGCTCAACAACACCGAAAAGAATGTTTATCAATGTCCCAGAGGGTGTTGTTCAATAATGGCAGTTCAGAAGTGCCCTACTTGGGACAACAATTGTAGTCTACGCTGACAAATTAACACTACCCTATTCCCATCATATGTTCGAGTTTCGAGAGTCTCAAATTCCACTGTCATGTAAACAATAGCAAACAACTTACCTGGCTTCTTCACATTTCTCAGCTTCATATCGATGCGCTCAGGTGCATGCAAAAACAGTTATTAATACCCGAAAAAAATACAGGCCTGCAAAGTTAAGATCAATGTTTACAATTATTTTAGTTTCCCCAGTTTATACAGCAAAGAAAACGCAACTTTTGTTTGTACCGTGACTTCGACTAAAAGTTGTAACTTCTTTAACAGCATCCTAGAAACCAGGGGAAAGGGAATTGTGTACATTCGGGGGCGGTGGCCTGGCTCTTTAACCCAGCCTTGCGGAGACAGAGGGCGGCCGCTAATTGGCCGAAGTACGCCAAGCCTTCTTATCAGGAGCGATTTCAGCACAACTTCTGACTGAGAAGAAACCAATCACGGTGTCCCCATTGCAAAAACAAAAGGAGTCACTTATTTTCTAAAACAACGTAGCTCCATTGAAAAACAACGTAGCTGGAACTAACGATAGCTCATATCCAGGACATTATCGTCAAGATTATGAGAAAAAAATAGTTTAATAGAATGGTTTGCTGACAGACAAAAGCAGTCATGATAGTCGCAGCAGCCACAGTCCCTTGATTCAGAATCACCTTTATTCGCCAAGTACATTTACAATGTGTTACACATAGGGGGCCTACCAGGATGCAATATAGGCTATAGCTGATGATGAGAACCGTTCGATTCCATCAACTACCTAGCAATAGAAAAAAGGAATTGAAAAATACTGTTCATACTGTATATACAATACACGTGCAGCGACCAAAACACCGCGGCTGCCTCGCAAACCCATATGATTATGCAAGATGTCAGTATCTCCATGCATAGCTGTGGCCAGCTGACTATGCAACTTCTCTACATTCAACTGCCTGCAGCATGCGTGTAACCCAGTGGTTTTCAAACCTCTCCCCGAGGACCCCCGGGCGTTTCACAATGTTATTGTAGCCCTGAACTAGCTCACCTGATCCATCTACTTAAGTGCTTGATGAGTAGTTGACAAGTTGAATCCGGTGTGAATGTGATAGCTGTGGAAGAATAGTTCAAATAGATGGAATGGCTGGTGGGGGTCACCGAGGTGATGTTTGAAAACCCCTGATGAAGCCTAATGTAACATATTGTAATTGTGTCAATTGATGAGTAAAACCCATAAATGACTAAATGCAAAAGCTACACCTGCAAAACCCATTGACAGCGACACTTACGTGGCCTGTTCCTCTTCACTGATTCAACTCTTCTTCGTAACCTGCATCTTTTCGCAGGAGAGGACCCATTGGCTTCGACATCATAGGTATGCAGATGATGGAAGTGTTCAACATTGCTACTAGCACCACTACAGTTTCCACTTGATTTGTATGCATTGCATCCACCGTTGTTAGCCTGAGAATGAAACCCCCTTTGCAGTCCGTTGGCATAACACGATCCCGACCCTTTTTTATCGATAATTGATTTGGCTTTATCCATTGTTGCAGCTAACTAGCTACGTGTGATACCAAGCTAAAGGAAACGAGCTGCTATAGCTGACGTTAGCCCGTGCGATAAAATGCAACCCGCTCAAGGGAAAATGTGTTTCATATGAAATTGCTCTTAAATGGTAGAAAATATTTATCCGCTCTTGGTACCGATAACCTTTATTCTGTTGATAAAAGGTGTGAAGACCTATCCGCTAAAACACGGTTTGGTCGAGCTCATTTTCCCACTTAACAGTCCGCTGCGGGAGTCAAACAGCCAGGGTTGTTAGCTAGCTAGTTACGTCACACATAATGGCACCCGAACCGGTTTGCCCTCTCCCGGGGACACAGGCAATGCGCTCCTGTTCTATAGAGAAAATACAAACTAGCGTTCGGGTTTATGTGCCTAATAAGCAGAACAGTCGTGTTATAGCCTAGGCAATGGATAATTTAATTATTGTAAGGTTATTCAATGTTATTCTCTCTGGAGTAACGTTCAGCCATGGCTCTGCCATATTTCTAAGGTATGCATCATGCAATGGTCATTCGTGATGTTAGTAGCCTAGACAGTCATGTTGAGATGATTTATAACACACAAACACAGCCTAGCTGTTTACTTCTCGCTGTGTCATGTTGTTTTTCCCCAAACCTTGCTTTTCACATGTGATTATGAAAATGTGTTTACACCTGTGCATCTCTGTGGGTCAGAGGTGAACGGTGAGTTGTTGATAGTTTGTAGCCTACATAACTCAAGAGTGCGTCTTTGGGTGTTGCCATCATTGCCTTCTGTTTTGTTCTGGCACAAACTGTACTGGGATTGTTCCTCACATTTATTTTTAAGTGGTTCTTATCTGGGCACACACTAACATCTGGTCTGGTGAGGTTGATATGATTTGATCAGAATATATATTTATAAGAAGTTATATTATTTTGCCATAGGCCTACTGTGAACACCGACAGTACAGTCAAATATTCCGAGTGGAAATTGTTGTGTAACAGCCTTGCAGGCCAACCTGTTGTTCATAGACTTGCATCATGATTAGACCTAGGCTGCTGAGGCTAGGCTACTCAGGTTCATGAGTGAAACTGTTCCTAAAGCTCTCTATCCCTTAGTTTCAGTAGTTTATGAGACTGATTAATTACTGTGTAGTTAAATTATGTATTTTAAAGTAGTGTTAATTTAGTATTTCAATCAGTTGTTTATTTATCTAGCTATACTATAAATGTTTGTAGGAACAAAGCTTTTAGCTGCGATTGTGTGTAGGCTACTAATATAAAATAACCAAACCAAACCAAACTAGGGCCGGGATTCAATCCAATCACAGATTATGGGCATTGCGGCTTTTGAAGGTGATTTCCGATTGAGCGGACATATAGCCTTTGCTACACTACAGCGTTTACTCTGAAACATGGGAACATTGACTTTAAAACACATAACAATTTTGATGAAAAATGTACTTTACTGCTATTAGCCCATACAAACGCATTGAATAACAGATTCACTATATGGAACAACAGATAGTCCCCCCAAAAAATCAAAAGGAAGTTTCTGAAGTGTCTGTTGTATATCTGAGAGATATAAGAAAGATCAGGAAACATTAAATTGTTTTATTACATGTATTTAACCCCTTATTTTTGGCACTAAACAGTCCTGTGAGAGCTGTGGGCGTCCTAGAGTCTCACCTTTCCACAGAGGGGAAGCCCAAACTGTTCGGACGCTACAGACAGAAGTTGGCAGATCGGCTGTACCGACTTCAGACGAGTCCCAAGACTCTTGTGGGGGTCGTAGAGGAAAACGGAGAACACCATCGTGTTCGCGAGAGTCTCATCTTTCCATAAGAGGGCATAGTAATAGTTTCCATAGTAACAGTTTCCATAGTAATAGTTTGTAGCCGTTCAGATGCTCAGACGCTACAGACGTTATTTAGTGAGAAGACTGATTTTCGGGATGCCTCCTGGTCTGACAAACACCGCTCTAACTCTGTCACCTTTCACATATTTTATTTATATTTATATTTTTGTCATTTAGCAGACGCTCTTATCCAGAGCGACTTACAGGAGCAATTAGGGTTAAGTGCCTTGCTCAAGGGCACATCGACAGATTTTTCACCTAGTCGGCTCGGGGATTAGAACCAGCCACCTTTCGGTTACTGGCACAATGCTCTTAACCACTAAGCTACCTGCCGCAGCTAGGGCACATCTCTAACTTAAATTGACAGATTTTTATGGGGATTTATTGTTATTATACTAACTCTATGTAAAAAATAAATAAATAAAAAACTACAATAACCCTTGGCCTATATGCACACCAGTGTGTGATAATCTGATTTTTCTGTCTGCACCATGTAACAAGTGCCTAAAAGGATATTATTTGTGTCTGTTGAAATCAAAAAGTTTGTTTTACTCTAATCATCGGTTTCACCCTATGAGAGATTTTATCCTTGTCTTGTTCATGTCTGCAATCTTTGTAGGACTTACATGTCCACCAGTATGTGCAGTTCCTGTCATATTTGCATCACAAATGTCTTGTGAATAAAGACTCATTAAGCATGTAGCCTATGAGGAGTGGTTTCAAATAGGCTTGGTGTAGAGTAGGCTTTCACCTGGCAAATTGAATTTTGACTATTGTCCATAGATAAAAAAAAAACGGAGGGTTGCCTGACTTGTGTTGGAAAACTGAAATATTAACACCATCTAGTGGCCAGAAATATTAAGTAGTATAAAGAGAACAAATGGGCTGTCAGAGGTTTGCTCTTTATATTTGGAACAAGTAGGATATGTTGTCTTTGGTGTTTAATTAATCTCATAACCAGCAGCTCCTGAACAAATTTACAGAACTAAAGAAAGAAGCTATTCCAAAGTGTCACATCACCAATAGAATGCAACAGATCACCTTTTCAATAAGATTTTTTGACAGTACTCTTATCATTTCTCTTTATTGCTTTCGTTGTTTCAAAAAGAAGCCCCAAACTTTTCATGATCTATTTGAGGGGTTGAAGGAAGGGTCTGTATTACTGTCACTCTTTTACCAAGAATCTTACACCGATAATAATTCAATTTCAATATAAGTAAAACAACAGCACTAAAGTATCTTTATTTTCTCATGCCAGCTTCTAGGACACAATATACCACCATATCACTATACCAGGACACAACATATCATCATCATTCATGTAATATCACTATACCAGGATACAAGATACCACCATCATTCATGGAAATCCCCATACGCGGAAACTCATTATTTTGGGTACAGTTGGTACAGTCGGTCAAAATATAAGATGAACCTGAGTTGACTGAGGTTGGTAAGCTTTGTCGAGGAATGTGCGTAGTGTTGTTATTTTTCACCAGGGCAGTTCTGAACCGTCCCAGTTGTAGGCCTTCCCTGTTTTGTCAATATTCAGGCTATCTATAATGCTCATGAGGCAGTGCACGGAGTGGCCTGTGCTGAAGAGCTTGTCCTTGGGCACGTTCTTGTGATAGGGGCGGGACAAATCGGTATTCACTGTGCCGGGATGCATGGACACGCACACCACTCTGGGCCTGCTCCTCCCCAGCTCGATGGACAGGTTACGTGTGGCCATGTTAAGTGCTGCTTTGGACATTCTGTAGCTGTACCACCCGCCAAGACCTAGATGGACAGACACAGACAGACACAGACTTATTCTGAAGTTGTTCAAATTACAAGTTGAATGGCCACATGCAGGCTATATAATGCACCCCCCCCCCCCCCCCCCCCACACCCCCCCACAATGACCTTTGCTTTTAAACGATAAGTATAGACTGCTTGATGTGTGAATGTGTAACCACAAACTTAAGTTGATAAAACTGTCAAATCATATTAGCCTACATCAATGTGCTCTATTAGATATAGAAGAAGCCATTAGACACTTCATCATTCTTTTTTTTGTTGCTCTTATCCAGAGCGACTTACAATTAGTGAGTGAATACATTTTTCATACTGGCTCCCCGTGGGAAACGAACCCACAACCCTTGCGTTGCAAGCGCCATGATCTACCAACTGAGCTACAGGAGGGCCAATAAGGGCCATTCATAAGGATTTCTTTAATATTTTAACAATTCGATCAATTAAGATGATTCTATGATTGATGGGATTGACTTCCGAAATTATACATATGATGCATACCGTTATCACCGATGGATCCGACTTTTGCGGTGATGTTGACAATGATCCCACTATGCTGTTTGGCTTTCTCTGGCGGCTGCTGGCCAAATGCACCACTACCCTTCTGCAATAGTGGAGCGAAGTACTTGGCCATCACCAATGGTCCCACAGTGTTTGTTGTCAATGTTGAGATTATTCCCTAAAAACACAACAATGAATGAGTCTGCAATTTGAAAAACCACTTGTTAAAGGTATACAGCTGAGGGATGGGGCTAGGAAAATGTAACACCTCTCAAATCCATAGACAGTGCTCTCAATTTAAGGACTGACAGTCCATGACATCCACATGATAGTTTTAACCATGTTGTGAAGAATGTTGAATGACACTGTTACAATCAATAAGTAAATATATTATGGCTTCTGATGGCTATTAAAGTTGTACAATTTTCTTCAAGAAAATAACTGTAATTGATTTGAAATTCCAAAAATGTATTTGCCAATTTAGCCCAGCTTTGTACCTATCACAGATTAGCTTGAACTGTTCAACAATCCGTCTGTTTCACTTTTGACCAGCTCCATCACCTGACAGTTGTATGACTTGACTGGATTTAGCTAGTTTACCTGTGCAGAAACATCCCTCAGGCTGGTCTCGCCTTTGCCAGAGGGATGAAGCATCGCTGAGGAGTTGATGATCAGGTCAACTTTGCCGAATGCCTTTTTAACATGTTCAGCCGCGTCTTGGATGTCATCTTCTCTGCTTACGTCCAGTTTCAGAACTGTCACTATTCCCGGGTGTTGCGCAACTAAGCTCATCAACTCCGCAGCAGTGTCCGGATTTCTGCATGTCGCGATCACTGCTCCTGGGGTTTTGTTTATTAAGATATTTCTGCAAAATTCGAGTCCAAGTCCCCTACTCGCACCCTGTACCAGTGCTACGGCAGCCATGACACACGTGAATGTGATGAACCCACAGCAACGCCCTCTGTGGGTCGTAGAGAAGGAAACTTACACAACCCAACGTGCTTTTTGTTTTGTAACGAACACTCGTCAGTCTAGCTAGCCTTTCTGTTAGCGCTGTCATGTCAACTCTCTGCCATTCATTGGTATACCAAACATCTCACAGGTGAATTAATGAGATCTAGGCCCTTTGTGATCTTAACATTCTATACCCTTGTAATATCATGAAACTGTATTCCATATAGACAATGTTAACACAACCATTCAAGGAAAAATCCACCCAAAACCACTCATTCCTTTAATTTACAGTGTTCAATAATACTAATATGTGAGAACAATATTTTTTTGTGAAAAAATATTTCATTTTGGAGTTATAATAAGGTTGGTAGCAACATGGAAAATCGTTGTGGAAATCTCTTACAGCTCAAGTCAACTACAACATCCACAATGCAATGCTCTCTCTATGGGCTGGCTAGTTAGCTAGCTAGCAAACGTAGCTCCACACAATAATACCAGAGACAATATCAGCATGTAACGTAGCTCGTTAGATGTAAAATGGCCTAAACAAACTGCACTATCAATTTAGGAGTCTACAATATCTCCATGTTCAACGTGCAGGTCGATGTGCCTCACAGTGGAGTCTGACATTCGCAACGGCAGATATACTTTTGTGGAGATGGGAAACGTTGTCCATTCCACGTCAATGGGCCGCCGGGTGCATTCAGGGCGATTATGGGACAGGGAGTACTGTCCTTCAAGGAGTGAACGGGAGTCTATTGGGCACTAGCTCAAAAACCCAACATAAGCACGAATTTCGTCAACAAGAAGTACAACATTACGAATATTTTCCGAAATAATTAACTTGTTATATGTAGTATCGTATAGCGTTGTAATCGTGACATTACGTACTTTCGAGGAGAATAGGTACGTTTCTCGACATATACACTGACTTTGAGAAGGGATTGGGTGACAATTAGTTTAGCAACCGCGTGACGCAGCATGACAACGTGAACGCGATTGGTCAACAGTCTGCTGGGTGGGACGTCTCATTATTCATTGGATTCCTATCTCCTTTCTATAATCTCTCTGGCATCTGCCACATGCAATACACACTGGACTAAAGAGGCAGCTAATACATTTACATTTTAGCAGACGCTCTTATCCAGAGTGCATACATTTTCATACTGGCCCCCCGTGGGAAACGAACCCACAACCCTGGCGTTGCAAGCGCCATGCTCTACCAACTGAGCTCCATGGGGACTACAGAGCATGGCGTTTGCAACGCCAGGGGTTGTGGGTTCGATTCCCACAGGGGGTATGAAAAAAATAATAATAATGTAAGTCGCTCTGGATAAGAGCATCTGCTAAATGACGTAAATGTAAATGTACAATAGACCCCATTTCTGTGTTTGCAAACATTGCCGCACGAGGGTGACGGGCGCAAATTGGTGGCAGAACAAGGGGGAGGTCTTATAGAACACCAGCAAAAAAAAAAAGAATCAATTTACATGATTTTTATGAGTGCATTTCACACTACTTTTGGATTATAATTGGATTTTAAGGCTTGTATGAATGTCCTGCTTAATATAATGTTTGTGTCATCATCGCAAATCAACTGCATTATACTTTTAACCGCTTAAATGTAATGGCAAAATGTAGACATACCCAAAAGTAAATGCTATGCATGTGTAATTACATGATTCTGATTTAATATAATGTTTGTGTCATCATCGCAAATCAACTGCATTACACAGTTTTTTTTTACACTTCAACATCAACCAGTAAAATGGCTCTTTGGCTAGCTTTTGCTACAGCCTATATCAATGAGCGTTAGCATTCTAGCTAACAACTGCTGCATCCAAAATAGTTATTTTGCAAAGATCACAACCAAATATAATCGTAGCAACTGTTCAAGCAAGAATAAAAACATAACTGTAAGCGTATGAGAACCCAAAACGGTTATTTTGTTTAGAAGTAATAAAAACGTCAATCTAGGCTATGTTGAATGGGCGCAGATGGCGGTGGCTTAAATACTGCCGCCAAGAGTAGCGCGCATCTGTGCGTGACGTCGTCTACTGGGAAGGGGTCGAAAGGAAAAAATGTGTTAGACCCTCGGTTAAATTACAAATTTCTCGAGGTAGGAAAATGATCAATGGCTCATTCGATTGAAGACATCCTCCCGAGTTATGACATGTATGATAGACGTTTTCGCGATCTTAAAAGTCGAATTCCTATTAACTTCCGGTGTAGTGAGAGCGACTTTGTCACGGTGCTATGTAATACCGACCGGATTTCTGCCTGCTTGAACGCCAATAACTCAGAAACACATGAAAACATGAAATGACCCAGGGAATCGATATAACATCCCTCAGATATGCACAAAAACATTATAATATTCAAAATGAGTGAACCTTTCCTTTAACCTACAGTTCTTTAGCCTAATTAAAAGCAAATTATACATTTTTAAATGTAAAACACGTTATAATATTTTACAGTATAGTATTCAAATTTCTCTCATGAGAATAACATAAAATGTATATACAATTATTGTGTGGGGATTTTTTCAATTTAAAACGTATAATGTGTCAACAGCTTTTTTGTGTAGCCTACTGTTCAAACTTGCTACCATATCAAAGTCCTATGTAACACTTTTAACAATGTGAAAGGGTCCTATGTAAAAATTGCTATAGCATCACTTGCCATCTTATTTGGGAAGATGCTCTGCTCTGCAGCCCCAGCCAACACAGGAGTGATTACAGTGTATTCAAATTGAAGATGATGGTTCGTTTGAATAATCATCAGTGTCTTCAAAATACTTTAAGCTAAAGACTTTAAAGTTGATCACAGCTTTGCCATGAGGACAAATACTGATACCCAATAAGGCCACACGGTGGTGCTATGTAATATACTGTCCTCAACATAAACGATTCTGCTCAGTGGTTCATAGTCACTTTTTTGCCTATATCTGGTGAAACCCCTACATGTATTGTTTTGTGCTTCTCAAGGAGGAGAGGATAATTGAAAAGTGACTTCAAAAAGCCTCTACATATAATCTTGGGTATTGTAAGAAATCGCCCGATTTGACTTTAGTCTTATGAATAATGCAGGAAGGTCAGATAAACACACTTCAATACATGATGGCCCTATGACATACTTTGCTGTGATCAGGTGTCGATCAGTACTATATTTGCACATTTGCACGAATATTCTTTATTTTGCTGTTCCAGTACCCAACCTCACAGGCTGGGAGCAGCGCGCCTGGACCACTTAATGGTCAAGTGCCTTGCTCATATTTGGTGGGAAGCCTCGACCAGCGACTGTCAAGCCAGCACCTTAACCATTACGCCATGAGGTCCGAACCTCTTGACGAGGTTGCTAGGTGTTGGCTTAAACTCGCTACATTGAATTGAAATTGTAACTTCTAATTACTAGCACAAAGATGTAAATGGTCATGTCCATTCTATTATCTATATTTCTATGATTTCAATAGATTTCCTATGGAGAATTGACATTAGGATTTAAAACAACATATTTTCCCATTCAAGTCAAAATTCTCTGATGTGTGGACCTCCAACCATCTTTGTGGTGCCATTTGAAATGCGACATTTCAATTTGATTCCCATTTTAGTAAATTAATCAGTCAGAATATGACACCCACCCTGTATTCAAGAGCATGTTGTGTCTCAACCGATGGCGGGGGCACGACACAAAAACCTCAGATAATGTAAAATAGGGTCTAAGCTACAACATATGCGAATATTAAAAAATAAGGAGTTTGCGCGTCTTTAGATATGCCTAATTGACGTTTTAAGATTCAAATAAAAAAATAAAAAGAAGACTATTTGTATATTTTTTTTAAAAGGTGGGGTATGCAAAATAGGTCAACTTTGAGCACCTTTATATTTAAATGTTTAGTCATTTAGCACACGCTCTTATCCAGAGCGACTTACAATTAGTTTATCTCTTGAATGTTTTGCCATACAGTTCCAAAAAGTCACTTTCTGACCACTTCTACAATGGGCAAGTATGTATGGAAGGTTTGGTTCAAATTAAAAGGGGTTCTGTCAAAAAAGTGATTGAATTCAAATGGATTTACCCTTTTTCTATGTCCCTCACGTGTACATACAATGGCCTCACAGGCTCCATCCTACTTCTGACACCAACGTAACGATTATATGCGAACAGCGAGAGTGTAATGCCCCTTGCGGGTCTCGATCCTAGGTCTCCCAGCCCCTAGACCTGCTAACAACCACAGCTCCAATAAGTTGTTATAGTATATATGCATTTCTTTTTAATCCAAAATGATGCTATTGTGGCCATATTGCAGCCTACACAATTATTAGGCCTACTTTGTAACTCTATTACAGCCAATAAATGGTAGGTATTTGGATACAGTTCCCCGTGTCTCCATGCGTAATTATCCATGGCCGCATTGGATTGGTTGGCTATTCAGACCAATGACATATTTATTTATTGTCTTGAATAAATCATTGATACATTTGTTTTTAAATACATTTGCTAGTAGTCCAATATTCTAGGTGTTCCTGATGTCACTTGTTACTCAGCTATAATTGCGCTGACATGCCCCCCAGGAGCTGTTATTTCTAGGTGGCGTCCAGAGGTGCGAAATGTCCGCAGAAACATTTTGTATACGTGCTTACGCCGTGCGTTATGAGTAATGTCCTCAAAATAGAGCAATGTGCGTGTTTCTGACTAGGGTTACTATGAATGTGCGCTCTGGGCGGACGATGCAGATTAGTCATTTACATCACACATGCACATCTGTGAGTAGGCATTTTAAGGGGTTGCATGTTCATGGATAAAAACCAACCAGCATGGTCGTGGATGCAAATGGCACTTTCAACAACAGCAACATGAGATCTTACGTGATAGAGAGAGAAAAAGAGCCCGGCGCAACAAACATGATTTCGGAGGCGCTCGTTCCACACTTGCTGAAGATTGTTCAAGAGGCGGCAGAGGCGGTATCCCACTTCACAGCCTTCACCTCTGCTGATGGAGAATGGCACCTGGTGCGGGGAACAAATTCTGAACTACGACAAGGTGGAGAAAGTATTTATTGGAGCGATCCTCACCATGCTCACGCTGTTTACTATCTGCGGGAACTTGCTGGTGGTGATTTCGGTGTGCTTTGTGAAGAAGTTGCGGCAGCCGTCCAACTATCTGATCGTGTCTCTGGCGGTTGCCGACCTTTCAATCGCGCTTGCAGTTATGCCATTTGTCAGTATAACGGACCTTATTGGGGGGCAATGGGTTTTTGGCCAAGTCTTCTGCAATGTTTTTATTGCCATGGACGTGATGTGTTGCACTGCATCCATAATGACGCTGTGCGTAATTAGTATAGACAGGTAAGTGCTATTCCAACTCCTAGTAACCAGTGATTGATGGACTGAAATAGGTGCCGGTACTCATTTTGGGTGCCGGTGCTGTTTATATTTAGGTGCAGGAGCTCCACAATACTTTTGAGCTCAAGCAGTAGAACATTTGAAGTGCCGGTACTCAGCTCCAGCTCCGGTGAAGCACTGCTATTACCTACATAGAAGGACAAGTGTATTGTTTGTGTTGTGTGACAAGGTGAAATCCGTTTTGTTATGATTGTTAATTATGCATTTAATTGTTTATTGCATTTAATTTGTTAAATAAAAATTGTGTTTCGTGCACACATAGGCTACTTGATGAAATGGTGTATTATAATCCCATACGGGATGGGCACCAATTGGTGTACTAAATTAAACTAAATTAAATATATATATATATATTTTAAATCGATCATACATATTTACATAGTAAATTGAGTGGGTAACACTTTCGCTTCCAGAACCATATTTTCACCCTGCAGCGGTTCCATCCCCATATCAGCCCTATGCGTCTCCCTCTCTCCCTGCAGCGGTTCCATCCCCATATCAGCCCTATGCGCCTCCCTCTCTCCCTGCAGCGGTTCCCTCCCCATATCAGCCCTATGCGTCTCCCTCTCTCCCTGCAGCGGTTCCCTCCCCATATCAGCCCTATGCGTCTCCCTCTCTCCCTGCAGCGGTTCCATCCCCATATCAGCCCTATGCGTCTCCCTCTCTCCCTGCAGCTGTTTCCCTCCCATATCAGCCCTATGCGTCTCCCTCTCTCCCTGCAGCGGTTCCATTCCCCATATCAGCCCTATGCGTCTCCCTCTCTCCCTGCAGCGGTTTCCCTCCCCAATATCAGCCCCTATGCGTCTCCCCTTCCTCCCTGCAGTCGGTTCCTCTTTCCCTCCCATATCAGCCCTATGGCGTCTCCCTCTCTCCCTGCAGCGGTTCCCTCCCCATATCAGCCCCTATGCGTCTCCCTCTCTCCCTGCAGCGGTTCCATCCCCATATCAGCCCTATGCGTCTCCCTCTCTCCCTGCAGCGGTTCCCTCCCCATATCAGCCCTATGCGCCTCCCTCTCTCCCTGCTTCTGTTCCTATCATGTCGTAATAATATTAATACAAGCACGTAAGGAGTTCGGAATTCCATTCTCAAAAGTATAGCCTAGCTATATAGCCTAGTATAAGTATAGGCTACATTCTAATAAGATTGTGATACAGTATCTTATTATAATTGCTATAGTTCATTTGGGGTGAATAACTCCCCAGTGTTTGTTTTCTGTTGGAAGGTGTTTTCTGTTCATGTAATGTATTTACAGTAGTATGTTCTGTATGTATAGACAGTTTATGTTTAGCAGCTATTTAATGATATGCTTTTTTGTTGTTCGTTCTGAGGTACCTGGGCATAACCAAGCCTCTGACTTACCCTGTGAGGCAGAATGGCTGTTGCATGGCCAAGATGGTGGTGTCCGTGTGGCTCCTCTCCGCCTCCATCACCCTGCCCCCCCTCTTCGGCTGGGCCCAGAACGTCAACGACAACAAGGTGTGTCTGATTAGCCAGGACTTTGGTTACACCATCTACTCCACCTCAGTGGCGTTCTACATCCCCGTGTCCGTCATGCTCATAATGTACTACCGCATCTACCGCGCCGCCAAGCTCAGCGCCGCCAAACACACCATCACGGGCTTCCCGCGGGTCGGGGAGGAGGAGGAGGCGCGGGGGGGAGAGGAGGAGGCCATGGAGGAGCAGGAGGAGGAGGAGGAGAGCGTGGACTGTGTGTCGGCCGCCCTGAGGCTCCACAGGGAAGTTGAGGAGTGCACGCGATTCTCGCGCCTCATGAGGAGCAACCGGAGGAACATGTCCATCTTCAAGCAGGAGCAGAAGGCAGCGGCCACCCTGGGGATCGTGGTAGGGGCCTTCAGCGTCTGCTGGATGCCATTCTTCCTGCTCTCTACGGCCAGACCCTTCATCTGCAGGGTGGACTGCCCTAGCTGTGTGCCCTTGTGGGTGGAGAGGACCCTGCTGTGGCTGGGCTATGCCAACTCCCTCCTCAACCCGTTTATCTACGCATTCTTCAACAGGGACCTGAGGACCACCTACAGCAACCTGCTGCGTTGCCGCTACCGCAATATCAACCGCAAGCTGTCTGCCGCCGGGATGCACCAGGCCCTCAAACTGGTTGAAAAGACTAACTCTGTTATCTAAATGTGGCAATGGTGTTATTGTTGTGGTATTGTGGGAGCTGCCATCTAAATGGTGTTCTTGTTGTGGTATTGTGGGAGCTGCCACACTGAGAAAGTCTTAGGTAAATGGTATCTGCTTGCCTGGTCCTCTACTCAAGATCTTGCATGTCCAGACACAGTCTAAAACAGGGCTCTCCAAACCTGTTCCTGGAGATACCCTCCTGTAGGTGTTCACTCCAACCCTGTTCCTGGAGAGATACCCTCCTGTAGGTTTTAACTCCAACCCTGTTCCTGGAGAGGTACCCTCCTGTAGGTTTTCACTCCAACCCTGTTCCTGGAGAGATACCCTCCTGTAGGTTTTAACTCCAACCCTGTTCCTGGAGAGATAGTTACAATTGGGGTTGGAGCGAAAACCTACAGCTCTCCAGGATCTGGGTTGGAGAGCCCTGGTACAGTATTGGAGAGGTCTGATTATGAAACAAATAAGAAGCAATCTTTCCATCTGAATGTGAGTCCATGGTCATTGTCTTTGTGTCCATGACCTTACGGTTCTTCCCCTTGGTGTGCTATGGTTGCACAAACATGATGTCTCACAGCAATCAATGATGGTAAGCTGTTGCATGGAACAGAACATTATTTGTACAGAATGTCACTGCAACAGTGGTGTGGCTCTGTCAAAAATCAACTATGGGGTGTTGTATTTTCCAGTTGTGCTATGGTTGCCCAAACATGACACCTCAGAACAATAAATGATGGTTAGCTGTTGCTTAAAGGTGCAATCTGCAGTTGCTACATCCATTTTTGTACTTAAATTAATGATATACCCATTGATTCTTGAAGAATATAACTTAGAAATGCCTCATGAGCTTAGTTCAACTGTTGTACCCCATCAGAACCCAAAATATAAGCTTGTTTTACTCCAATGTTTGTAAACAAAGTAAATGTAAACAACCCCTGTTTAGTCCCAAAACATAGCCTCTTAAGGATCGAACCCTTTTTTCAATTTTCGCCTAAAATGACATACCCAAATCTAACTGCCTGTAGCTCAGGACCTGAAGCGAGGATATGCATATTCTTGATACCATTTGAAAGGAAACACTTTGAAGTTTGTGGAAATATGAAATTAATGTAGAATATAACACATTAGATCTGGTAAAAGATATTACAAACAAAAAAACATGCATTTTCTATTTATTTTTTTGTTCCATCATCTTTGAAATGCAAGAGAAAGGCCACAATATAATATTGCAGTTTAGGCGCAGTTTAGATTTTGGCCACTAGATGTCAGCAGTGTGTGTGCAAAGTTTCAGATTGATCCAGTGAAGCATTGCAATACTGGACTATTTTGTATCAAGTCTGCCAAAATGTGCCGAATTGGTCAATTGATAAATGTTCAAGTACATAACTATAGAGAACATACAAAAATGATATGGTAATACAAAATGTAAGTTTACACACTCCCAGGAATGTCATACATGATGGATCATTTGCTTATACACTAACTTTCACACATCTAGATGGCCGGGTGGGGTGGGTGTGGAGCCAGAGACAGCAGGGGTTCAAACTGTAGAACCCAGTTCCTACATTTGAATATAAAAATTGATTTTATCAAACAAAACTATGCTACATGTTATCTCTGGGACCCTTAGGATGACAAATCAGAGCAAGATTACCGAATGTAAGTACATTATTTACCTTCAGAGGTGAATGTATCAAACCAGTTGCCGTGATACGTTTTTTGTTGTTGTGCACTCTCCTCAAACAATAGCATGGCATTTTTTCACTGTAATAGCTACTGTAAATTGGACAATGCAGTTAGATTAACAATAATGTAAGCTTTCTGCCCATATAAGACATGTCTATGTCCTGGAAAGTTTGCTGTTACTTACAACAGTCATGCTAATCACATTAGCACATGTTAGCTCAACCGTCCCTTATACGGGACAGCGATCCCGTAGAAGTTTAAAAAATGTTGATTTGATGGATGGTCAGTCCTTGCATCCATAGCTCTGTCTACGAATTTGAGAGTAGTTACATTTCTCCAAACCCATCCCTCAGCTGTTCATTAAAAAGTGGCGGGGTGAGCTTTGTTAATGTTAAAACTGCAAATTTCCCCCTCAAGAGTTGGAAATAAACATTTTCTGAATGTCACTGCAACGATGTTGTGGCTCGGTCAAAAATCAACTATGGTGTGTTGATGTTGTCCCATGGTTATGCGTTTGACCTTCAGACATCTTTTTAATGACAGTTAATGCAGACTCTAAATGCAAATGTTTCATTGTGGTATGTTGGACAGGTATCATGACTAATGGACAAGACAACCTACACCTGATATGGAGTATGCCCATTCAATTGTATAAAGATATTTTTTTAAATCTCTGTTAATTTATGTTCAATGGTGTTCAATGTTTGTTGAATGGCAGCATATAAATGTGATTGACAAATCATTATGTACTTTTTAAAATGATTAAATAATTAAACAGACAGAATTGCATGGTTTTGGTAGTAATGGTGTAAATATCCTAAGTGTAAATATAATCAGAGGGTATACTGTGAACCATTAATGTTTTTTATAGAATGGCGATAACATTGTTTAATTTACATAGCATTATGAATCGTTTTTTTTTACATAATAATTTATCAAATGTTTACAGTTGTCATAATTTGTGTTTTACATTTTCTTGACTAAAATATCAGTATTCTCTCAGTTAAATTGCTCTGTGTAGCAAATCCTTGTTGTGTGATGGGCTGTAATTGTTTAGTGAAACAAAGATAAAATGTTGCGTCTGCTCAGTCATACAGGATGTTACATCAATGCCCAGAGAAGGACAGGAAAGCATAGAGGTGTAGGCAGTCATAACACCACTGAATCATACGCCACAAAGTCATCTTAATGTCTTATTATGAGTCAAAACCAAGACAGCTGAAGGAAGAAAATGGATTAGGCTGACATTCTATTCCTGGTCTAAATCCAACATTTAGCCAGTCACTCACTTAGCAAAGTTGAGGGGGAAAAAAACACTGAAGAAACAGGTATTGGTTATAATAGAAATCAACACATTATGGGAAAACAAGTTATCCTAGTTAGCTATATACAAAAACGGACATGAAAAATTGTCTGTCCTCAAACGCTTATACCCCTGAGGGAATTAACCCTTTCCACTGTTGGAACTGGATGAAGAGGCTTTCCTGTTTGTAGCATTCCTTAATTCTCTATTAGAATTAAATAGATTTCTTATGCATCCATCATCTAAAATGCATCCATCATCTCCAAACCCATCCCTCAGCTGTTTATTAAAAAGTGGCGGGGTGAGCTTTGTTAATGTTAAAACAGCAAATTTCCCCCTCAAGAGTTGGAAATAAACATTTTCTGAATGTCACTGCAACGATGTTGTGGCTCGGTCAAAAATCAACTATGGTGTGTTGATGTTGTCCCATGGTTATGCGTTTGACCTTCAGACATCTTTTTAATGACAGTTAATGCAGACTCTAAATGCAAATGTTTCATTGTGGTATGTTGGACAGGTATCATGACTAATGGACAAGACAACCTACACCTGATATGGAGTATGCCCATTCAATTGTATAAAGATATTTTTTTAAATCTCTGTTAATTTATGTTCAATGGTGTTCAATGTTTGTTGAATGGCAGCATATAAATGTGATTGACAAATCATTATGTACTTTTTAAAATGATTAAATAATTAAACAGACAGAATTGCATGGTTTTGATAGTAATGGTATAACGATTCAAAGTTATTTTGATAGTAATGGTATAACGATTCAAAGTGATTTTGATAGTAATGGTATAACGATTCAAAGTGATTTTGATAGTAATGGTATAACGATTCAAAGTGATTTTGGTAGTAATGGTATAAATATCCTAAGTGTAAATATAATCAGAGGGTATACTGTGAACCATTAATGTTTTTTATAGAATGGCGATAACATTGTTTAATTTACATAGCATTATGAATCGGTTTTCTTACATAATAATTTATCAAATGTTTACAGTTGTCATAATTTGTGTTTTACGTTTTCTTGACAAAAATATCAGTATTCTCTCAGTTAAATTGCTCTGTGTAGCAAATCCTTGTTGTGTGATGGGTTGTAATCGTTTAGTGAAACAAAGATAAAATGTTGCGTCTGCTCAGTCATACAGGATGTTACATCAATGCCCAGAGAAGGACAGGAAAGCATAGAGGTGTAGGCAGTCATAACACCACTGAATCATACGCCACAAAGTCATCTTAATGTCTTATTATGAGTCAAAACCAAGACAGCTGAAGGAAGAAAATGGATTAGGCTGACATTCTATTCCTGGTCTAAATCCAACATTTAGCCCGTCACTCACTTAGCAAAGTTGAGGGGGAAAAAAAACACTGAAGAAACACGTATTGTTTATAATAGAAATCAACACATTATGGGAAAACAAGTTATCCTAGTTAGCTATATACAAAAACGGACATGAAAAATTGTCTGTCCTCAAACGCTTATACCCCTGAGGGAATTAACCCTTTCCACTGTTGGAACTGTATGAAGAGGGTCTTTCCTGTTTGTAGCATTCCTTAATTCTCTATTAGAATTAAATAGATTTCTTATGCATCCATCATCTACCCCCCCCCCCCGACCAGTCCCCAACGCACACACACACACACAAACACACACACACACACACACACGTGTGTTGAGTGTCCAGATGTCCAGTGTCTTCGTGCCCAGCACTTCCGTGCCCTGACAGGTCACGTGACCAACGGTAAAACACGTATTTTAAATGAATTACTGCGACGGAATTTGTGACAAATCCAGTGGTGGGTTATTGACCAAACAGATCTAAATGTGGTATTAGCACCAGAGGTCCACAAGGCTCTGGGTTATGTCATTTCATAACACATCCGCTCTAACAGCTCAACCTGGTCTCAGAGCATTTAGTATTATTCTGTACGTAAATCCGAGACACTCCATTTAGTATGATATGTTACGTTTCATATGGTATGTATTAATTTGTGGATGTCCATCATC